TCTTATTTCAGATTACACACAATGTCTCTATGTGTGAACACTTTAATATTTTTTTCTTTTTTTGTTTTGTTTTTAGAGAGATAGAGAATGCAAGTGGGAGAGAAGGGCAGAGGGAGGGAGAGAGAGAGAGAAAGACAGAGAGAGAGAGAGAGAGAGAGAGAGAGAGAGAGAGAGACTGACCCAAGCAGGCTCCATGCTCAGCACGGAGCCTGATGTGCAGCTCAATCCCATGGTCCTGGGATTGTGACCTGAACTGAAATCAAGAATCAGACGCTCAACTAATTGACCCTCCCAGGCACCCCAACACTTTAATTTTTAATTGACTTTATAGATTAAACTTTAAATTTTTAAAAAAATTTTAAGTAATCTGTACATCCAACGTGGGGCTCGAACTTACAACCCCAAGATCAAGAGTCAGACGTTCTTCTGACTGAGCCAGCCGGGTGCCTCTGACTACATTTCTTTTTTTCTTTTTTTAATGTTTATTTATTTTTGAGACAGAGAGAAAGCATGAATGGTGGAGGGTCAGAGAGAGAGGGAGACACAGAATCCAAAGCAGGCTCCGGGCTCCAAGTTGTCAGCACAGAGCCCAACGCGGGGCTCGAACTCACAGACCGTGAGATCATGACCTGAGCCGAAGTCCGATGCTCAAGTGACTGACCCAGGAGCCCCTGATTACATTTCTAATGAAGAGAATGGGTAACGTCCTCTCGCTTGGTGTAGACCTACCTGCACCAGTATCTAACAAGCATATACATATTTTTAGTATCAGAATTTGTAAAACTACAAGCCATAGAACTCTGTGCTACCCTTTGTTTAAAGGACATGCCACTGTGACACCTCACCCAGGCCTGCCTCTCTCATTTCCACTCCCTATCAGATCCACCAAAACCCTTAGTCTCCCAGAATTACCTCTTTATTTTTCTCAGTTCCTATTTGCCCAATCAAAACATGCATTTTTCCCAAGTGACCGTTCTCACCTTAGTTTAAAAAAAAAAAAAAAAAAAAAAAAGCAAAGTAATGCAACAAAAAGTAAATGATATAGAAGTAAATTCACAGAGTATTTAAACTGTTATAAAAATAATCACTAATAATTTCTGAATGGCTGATGAGCTGAGTAAAATATTACCATGAAGAAATTAGAAATCCTGCTAACCCTAAGGGGCAGTTGTGTTAACAATGGTGCCGGACAATTATTTTGTTAAGTTATGGAAAGCTAAACTTTATGACCAAATTCTCCTTACATAAAAAGGCCTATAGAACTCTCTACCCCCACCTTGTGGCAGAAAGTGCCATATAAAACTACTAAAAAGCTATCAAGCCGTGCAATGCAGACTATATCAAGGCCCCACACTAAGAGCAGAGATCATGATAGATCTATCTATTATATAATATATATTTCTGTGGGTATATAAAAGACACATTAAAATAAATGCCACAGAATTGAAAAAACAGTCAAAAATCAAGCAATGAATGAATGACATGGTGAGAATTTTTCCCTAAATTTTTGTCCTTAGCTAGATTTGTTTTTCATTGGGTTATTATATGAGGGATACTAACAGCATAATGGAAAGTGTCTCTAATTTAATGTGTATGAAACTAAAACATGCTAAAAGGCAGTTTCCGCTAGGACTCCAGGTCAACTCTACAGCATTTCAATGAAGATATTTCTGCGGAAAATAAGAGAACTAGAAGTCTACATACAGACTTTGGGGTGAGGTGACTTTAACCTTGGCTAAAACTTAGAAAACAGGCATAGAGGCATATTACATGGGGCTCAATAATCAAATGATGCTGCTGGAGATTCTTTGCAAAGAAATGTAAGCTAACAGGTCTACCTACTTACTAAGGTCCAACTATGGAGAAGCAGTATGTTTGCTACCAATGTGGCACCCCTGAGAAGAGCAGGAAAAGTTTCAGCAGTTTACCCCAGACAAGCAAGAATGAAGAGCGTACTCCTGTAAGGACAGGGCAGGGGCCCCTGCGTGTCTACAGAGGCCGTGCATCGTGCCTGTCCCGCACTCCGTGCTCCAACCATCAGCAGCAGTAATTGCTCTTCTTGAGAGAGGTTTCCTTTATTGCACACAGAATTTCTGTGCTGCGGCTGCAGGATTAGCAAGTTCCAAAACACAAAAGACTTTCTCTTGGGTCAACATGACCCCTGGAGGTCAGGAGCGCGCGCAACTTTCAAGCACTTGGAAGTGTTCCGTCCTGCTTGAACTGTAGCAGTTCTCTGTTCAATACAGTAAAAGCCACTAACCACTTGCGACTACTGAACACTTAAAACGTGGCTAGTCCAAGTTGAGAGGTGTTGCAAGTGTGAAACAGATGCCAGATTTCAAAGATCTAGTATAAAAAAGGAATGTAAAATACCTCATTAATAATCTCACATACTGATTATATGCTGAAATAATATTTCAGATACACTAGGCTATTAAAGTATATTATTAATTTCACCTGTGACTTTTTATGTGGCTATTACAGAAGTTAAAAAACATATACAGCTTGCATTTTATTTCTATTGACCGGGGCTGATCCACACACAGAAATAGCAAAAACACAATTTTGAGCAAAAGCCAATTGTGAAATGACACCACAAACCATTCTTTGAACTTTTACAATGTAAAGAACAATAAAATATATTGTGTATAAAGGTATATGAACATGTAGTTAATGTCGGAAGGCTAGAGTAACAAATTCATATTAGCTATTATCTCTGGAAAGAGATAAGAATATATACTCAGCATGGTTTGCAGGGCACGGTTTCAACTGTGTCTATAATGTTTCTTTTACAAAATATATGCCAAAAAACCCACGCAAATTAAAAAAAAAAAAAAAAAAAAAAAAAGCCCTGAAGTTAAATATGGCAAAATTTAAAGGTCTAACAGAGGTAGGCATTCAAATATTTTTTATTCGAAGTAGAAAATGGGTTAGAAACCACATTAGTGTCTACCCCTTCAAAAATATGATCCCAGTTTACCTCTTCATCCGCTCTCAACACAGAACTCCACGTATCAAACAACTCCTCACCAATTCCAGAAAACACCTCCTCCTCACCTTAATCTTCAGAGCTTCGACACACCCACAGAAACTCAGTTTAAATGATCACCTACCTCATTCATCTATGAAGTCGTTCCCAAATATCCCAGGCAAAGCTTGAACTCACTACCCAGTGTTCTCAGCACTTCATACCTCTGTTATAGTTTATATTCCAAGTTCTTCTATGCCCCACAGACCAGTCACCTGTTTCTGTAAATAAGACTTCATTGCAACACAGTCATACACATAGACATATGGTCTGTGGCTGTGTCCCCCAACAACAGAGAAAAGCCTAAAATATTTACTAGCTGGCCCTTTAAGAAGTTTGCCATCCCAACACTACACGTCTGGAACCTCTCTCCTACTCCTACACAGAGCTTCCTTAACCTGTTTTATGACTGAATAAGTATTCTACTACATGACTGTAACATAATGTATCAAAATCTACTAAGGACATTTCCATTCTTTCCCATCTTTTGTTAGCATAATGTTAAAATTAATACCCTTGGCATAAATGATCTTTCACATTCAGGAATAAATATATCTGTAGAAAGCTTCCCCAAAACTGAATTTCAAGAGTCAAAAGATAAACATTAAAATTTTGTTAAATATTACCAAGTTGCCCTCCATAAGACTGTACTGATTTATTCTTCCATCAGCAAGCTACAGGTTTCTTCAGGTCTTCAGTAAGTTGTGTAATTTTTAAACTTTGCATTGTAATAGGTGAAAAATGGCATCTTAGTGTGTTTTTCACATTTGCATACTCTTAGGAGATGGAGTTCCTTGTATTTCGTGTTCTGTGTACTGTCTATTTACACTATTTTTCTACTGGGTTATTAGTATACATTGTTTTCCCACTGAGATATTACTCTAAATTTGTAAGCACTTGAAATCCTGAAGTTTAAGAGCTTGAGATCTTGTTTGAAAGACATCTGAAATATTTGTCTTTGGCCTAAGAGGGCTTTCAGGATGAGGGGTATATCTAAATTTTCAGGCTCTATTCTTGCATTATTTGGCAGTCTACATTTCCTCTATTTTCTCGTTTTAAATGGTTTCTTTTAGCTAAAAGAATCCTTTCATAAATTATATAGTCCTTATTTTAATCTAAGTAGAAAAAAATGCTTCTTTAAAGCTCATCCTAATGCCCAACTATATGAAACAAAAATATATTCAACTAGGCAATTGTGTACCTATTATCTCTTCGGAGTGAACTGCAAAGACATGATAGATTTCTCCCACACACAAACAAAATACCACTTCAAATTCTTCTAAACTAGGATGGGCTAATGAAATTAGGACCTAAATATACAGTCTGACAGTTTTCAGAATTCATAAGAGAATACAGTTTCACATGGCTGTGCTTTTTCATCTCAGGACTCAAGACTCTTTTTCCTTAGCAGCTATAAACTTTATAGCATAAAATTCTTAAATTCAAATGATTAAATGATTAGTCACCTGAAAAATTAAAACTCTCCATCCATTCAGTTCAGACCACCAACTGAAATGTTACTGTGCTTATGTTCGTATTTAAGAAAAAGCTTTAAAATTACATTGCTAATTTCAATGAGCAACTGCTCACTAAAGCAGAGTCCAAGTCTATTTAAACCCTAAACAGACTAGAAGCTAGTAATTACTGAAATGGTTGGCATCCGGCACAATTAAACAGCATTTCCTTAATGAACAGAGACCCCAATACACGTGTCAATCTGTGGCTTCAAAGCTGCTTGTGCTTGTAAATTCAGGCATTTAAAAACTCTAAGCAAACAAATAAAAATAAAAACTCTAAACAGAGACAAACTGGACCAACTCATGACAAGTGTGTTTTCATAGGAAAAAAATATTTTAATGATCACAGGCATAGTTAATTCTATGCATATCTAAATATATTCTCTTTTAGAGACGGCTCAGTTAGAAAAAGCCTCCACTAAAATTTCAGAAAGAAAGAACCCGACACACCAGGGAACAAGGTGGTGAAAAGAGGAGGACTTGGTTTGGTGCTGTCGTTTCTATCTCTGGGGGTGCTGCGCTTTTCGCAGAACTTCCAACAGCGCTATGCTGGGACAGAGCATCGGAGATTCACCACTTCTGTGGTCCGTAGGAGCCACTATGAGGAGGGCCCAGGGAAGAATTTGCCATTTTCAGTGGAAAACAAGTGGTGGTTACTTGTTATGATGACTATGTACTTTGGACCTGGATTTGCTGCACCTTTTTTTTTTTTTATAGTAAGACACCAACTGCTTAAGAAATAAGGACGTCTGGGGTGCCTGGGTGGCCTAGTGGGTTAAGAATCTGGCTTCGGCTCAGGTCATGATCTTGCGGTCCGTGAGTTCGAGCCCCGCGTCGGGCTCTGTGCTGACAGCTCAGAGCCCAGAGCCTGTTTCAGATTCTGCGTCTCCCTCTCTCTCTGACCCTCCTCCATTCAAGCTCTGTCTCTGTCTCAAAAATAAATAAATGTTAAAAAAAAATGAAAAAAAAAAGAAATAAGGATGTTTTAATGAATCCATTAAACAGATGTGAAAAGGAGCATTTTAAGAAGTGCAGTCTCTCTGAAAAATGGATCAAACTCTTGAATTCAACATACTCAATATGTTTGTAAATAAACTTATGGCATGAATCCTTAACGCCTCTTCTCTGAAACCTGGAATGTAATAATTGTGCTTACTTTTTATTTAGGAAATGTTCCAGAATTTGTTTGGTCAAAATATGTGTGTAATTTAGCCTCTCTTGGTTTTAAATTTTGAGATTTAATTTTTGATTACTAGGTCAGGACCTTGTTGGTAATTTATGTTCTATAAAATGCAAATTTGACTTTGTTGTCCCACAATAATTTTTTTTAATTGAAAAAGAGGAAGAAGTGTACTTTTAGTCTTTACTTTGAGGCAGTAAAATTGTTTTTCTTCATGAGTGATAATTACTTAATCATGAGTAAAACCAATAGTGAGTGGATAGAGTGAAGTACAAGAGCTTTTTTCCCTCCAGACTTGTTATCTAAAACTAAATTTTTTGCCTTGATAAATTTGCTATTGACCAATACTAGTTTTGTTTAGACTGAATAAAAGTAGAATATCTGAAATGAAATGTAAAAAAAAAAAGAAAGAAAGAACCCAAGCAGACATAAATTCGAGTCAAATCCAGCCTGAAATATGAAGACATCAAATTCCCATGTGCTTGCTGTGGCATAAATAGGGGCCTGGAAATTTATCCGAGACTCAACGCTGACCAGGACTGAACTAAGAATCAACCTGGATTCTGAAGGGCTGTATTAATGTCCCTTCCAAGGACAAGGGGTTTACTTTTTTATGGCGAAGTTATGACTTTAATACAGATATTGACTTCACTGTTTTATTAGCTTCATGTTTTTAAGGTTCTATGACAGCTCATCTTACCAACTATAAGGAAACCAACCTACATTAAACAAGAAAAACAAATGACATAGGAAAAGATAATGAAAGGTTCTCACCAGGTCCAAGAATGGCACAAAAAAAAGAAGGCTGACAGATACTTTGGCACACTCCATTCAAAGTTTAAATACACCAGTCTACTTTTATAATATCATTTACTTTCAGGGAAGGGAAATGGGTGGCTGGGTAACAGTTATGGGAAAGAGACTTTAAATCCTGTTAAGTTTTTAAATTTTTGAATACTGTGATATGTTTTACCAAATCAAAATCATTTAATTATTATTTTATTTTAAAATAAATGATTACAATCATTAAGAGTTAATCCATCCTTTTCTCACCAGTCCACATTCTATCTTTCAGTAGAAATAGTAATAATAATAGTAGATAGATAACAGCAAAATAATGTTCTGTATTAGTTCACCAGGAAACTTAACAATGGCAAGCCCTATCGTAAAGCTTTTTTTTTTTTTTACCGTTTTATTTATTTTTGACAGAGAGAGAGAGAGAGACAGAGCATGAGCGAGGGAGGGGTAGAGAGAGAAGGAGATACAGAATCTGAAGCCAGCTCCAGGCTCTAAGCTGTCGGCACAGAGCACGACGCGGGGCTCGAACCCGCAAACCATGAGATCATGACCTGAGCCGAAGCTGGAGGCTTAACCAACTGAGCCACCCAGGCGCCTGATAGCTGACATTGTTATACTGACTGGACAGCATGGTAATATACATGATTCATTGATCGTGACTAAATGAGTACGAACAAAGTCATGTCGAAAGTGCTAGAAATGATGCTGACATAAGCATTTGGCATTTAGCTTTCCAAAAATACCCAAAATTTGGTACATTCCAATTATAAAGAGTCTCACTTCATAACCTACTTTTCAAAAACAGAAATAATTTGAATTTTGAGAAATACCTGGATTTTATGTTTATAGAAGCTATTCAGCTATTATGTATTATTTTTAGAGCAGAGCACTGAATATATACACTGACAGCACCAACTAGAAACTATGAGTATAACATCCTACAATATGATCTACAATATATCAATGTTTATAAAAGTCCATAAAATTGAAAACACTTGTTTATGAAAAATAAGGAAATGAGAGATTATATCATAATTCTTTTTTAAGTCTACTTATTTTGAGAGAGAGAGAGAGAGAGAGAGAGAGAGAGAGAATACATGTGGGAGAGGCAGAGAGACAGAGGGAGAGAGAGAGAATCCCAAGCAGGATCTGTACTATCAGTATGAAGCCTGATGCAGGGCTCAAACTCACAAACTGCAAGATCATGACCTGAGCTGAAATCAAGAGTTGGATGCTTAACTGACTGTTAACCTAATGTAGGATAAGAAAATCTGTAGCATGTATTAAAGTAAACAAAGATAGCCTTTAACAACTGTGTGATTTTTAGCTATTTATTCCAACTTGAACCCTCAGTTTTCAAAACAAACGTTATTGAGGAAGAAGACTTCATATCTTAAAGAAAAATTAAAAGCATATTTCAACATTGCCACCTCAATATTCCCTAGTCAAAGACGTAAAGATGTCTCCCAATAAAGAAAAGCCATGGACCAGATGGTTTTAGAGGTGAATTCCATTAAATATTTAATGACAAATGAACACCGTTTCCTCTCAAACTCCCAAAAAAGTAAAGAACACTTCCTAACTCATTCTACGACACCAACATTATCCTGATACCAAAATCAGGTAACAACATCACAGGAAAAGAAAATTCACAAGAGTTTTCACAAAAGAAAAAGAGAACAGATCAAGAATACCCTTTTTATAACTGTAAAAATCCTCAACAAAATATTAGCAAATTGAACCCAACAACTATTAAAAGGATTGTTCACCATGAACAAATGCAAATTTATGTCAGGAATGCAAGAGTGGTTCAATATAAGACAATCAGTCAATGTAACATAACATTAATAGAACAAAGGAAAGAGGGAGGATTTTTTCACTTAGCACAGAAGAGGTATTTGATAAAATGCAACACTTTTTCTTGATAAAAACGCTCAGGACGCTAGGAATAGAGAGAAAATTCCTCATAATGATAAGGGGTATTTATGAAAAACCTACAGCTAAAAACATCAAATTCAATAGTGAAAGAAAGACCCGGAACATGATAAGGATGCTCCCTTTTATCACTGCTATTCAATGCTGTACCAGAAGTTCTGGCCGGAGCTATTCAAATGGGAAAGGAAGAGGTAAAAATCCATCTCTACTTGCAGATGTCACGAACCTGTATATTAGAAAATTGCAAAGAATCCACAAGAAAGCTCCTAGAGCTAATAAGTTAAGCAAAGTTGCAGGGTCACACAATCAACACATAAAAATCAGCTATGTTTCTATACATCAGCAATGAACAATCCAAAAGAAAAAATTAAGAAAGTTAATTCCATTTATAATAATAGCATCCAAAAGAACTAAATACTTAAGGAAGGAATCCAACCAAGGGGGGAAAAAAAAAGACTTGTACACTGAAAACTACAAAACACTGCTGAAAGAAATCAAAGATCTAAATAAATAGAAAGACATCCCGTGTTCATGGATAGGAAGATTTAACACCATTAAGATGTCAATACTATCCAAACCAATCTACATGTTTAACAGTCCCTAAGAAAATTCCAACACCTTTTTTTCACAAGAATGGAAAAGCTGATTCTGAAATTCATATGGAATTGCAAGGGGTCCCAAAAAGCCAAAACTACCTTGAAAAATAATAAACTGAAGGACTTAAGCTTCCTGACTTCAAAATTTACAAAGCTACAGAGATTAAAATACTATGGCATTGACATAAGGTCCAATGTATAGACCAACAGAATAGAAGAGAATAGAAAGCCCAGAAATAAACCCTCACACACACGGTCAATTGATTTTCAACAACAGAACCAAGACAATTGGATGCAGAAAGGATAGTCTTTTAAGAAATGGTGCTGGGAAAACTGGATATCCATATGTAAAAAAAAATGAAGTTAGACCCTTACCTTATAATATATACAAAATGAATTCAAAACGGATCAAAGATCTAAACTTAAGAATTAAAACTATAAAACTCTTAGAAGAAAGTACTGAGGAGGGGCGCCTGGGTGGCTCAATCAGCTGAGCATCCGACTCCTGGTTTCGACTCCGTTCTTGAGTCGGAGCACTGCGTCAGGCTCTGTGCTGACAGGACACAGGACGGAGCCTACTTGGGATTCTATCTCTCATTCTCTCTGCCCCGCCCCTGCTCGTTCTCTCTCTCTCTCTCTCTCTCTCTCTCAAAATAAATAAATAAACTTAAAAACAAAACAAAAAGAAAGTATTCAGGACACTGGATTTGGCAGTGATTTCATAAACATGACATGAAAAGCACTAGTGCCAAAAGGAAAAAACAGATAAACTGGACTTCACCAAAATTATAAAATTTTGTATATCAAAGGACATCATAAAGTGCAGAGACAACCTATAGAGCTGGAGAAAATATTTGCAAGTCATAGATCCAACAAGGAAACAATACATGCAGGAAAAAAAAAGGGGGGGTTAACACATACCACAAAGATCACACAATTTCATCTATGACAAATCATCTTCAACCCAAACATAATAAAGACTATAAAAGCATGAAGAGTCAGTGCTATAAAAAATTAGAAACCCCAAGTATACTGTATCCTCATTGATCAAACTGGGAATACAAAATGTATTAACAAGTCTGCGGACACTAAAAATGTGAGTAGCATACATGTCAAGCATTTCTAGTAGTTGAAGTATTTGGAATCTGCCTAGCTTTGAAGCCTATGGATAAACTCCTTTCTACAAAAACATGTCATTAGAAAACTTCTTCCTAAATTATATCTG